CTGGGGTAATAATATAGTGTAAAGCGCATACAGCCTGCTGTTGAGCGGGGATATGCGCTATGCAAAAGCTATTTATTTATTATTAACATTAACATGGAAGGAAGGTAATCATGTGGATTTTCAGAAATTTTTCGTTAATTCCCCTTCGCATTCCTACTGTGGGAACTTGCCTGCAGCGTGATTTTTCTTCCGGCACCAAAAGTCCCGCTACTATAGCCATGTTCTACTGCAGCGGGACCATCCCTATAGCGGATAATATGGAAGGAAGGTAATCATGTGGATTTTCAGAAACTTTTCGGTAATTAAAATTTCCCATCGCATTCCTATAGCGGGAACTTGCCTCAGTGGGAATTCTCTTCTGGAACCAAAAGTCCCGCTATAGCCATGTTCTACTGTATTGAAGAGCTTCACCATTACATCACAGGTGCGCGATGCTCATCATGACGTTGGCAATAGTAGTAAATTTGTCACAGAGTAAACAAATAGTCCCTAATGTTCTAATATTAACAATTGGAAGTCAACCAGTTTTCATATAGAAAAATAAAAACTTAGATGGTTTGGCAATCTGTGATGAATGCCTGGAGAGCTGTCCCCGTGGTTTTATGCACCTCGCATAATTTAGCGAAATTTCATCATTTTTTGCATAATATCTAATTTATTTTCCTTTATCATTCTTTGTTTTAAAAAAACAGAATCGCATAGTTTCACATTTTTGCGCTCAGTTTGCATAATTTCATAATTTTTCTTGAATAAAACGACGGGGACAGCTGGAGAGCCTACAACACCAAGTATCCAGGCGACAAACGAAGAGGTAGGCCATGCAAAAGATGGATTGAGGGAGTCAAGGGAACCCTGAGAAAATACAACATCTCAATTGGTCGCTTTTCAGCACAAAAGGGCTATCCCGAAAATTCTGTTTTAAGAAAACCGAAGGAAAAGTTTTTGCCCCTTGTTCAGTTTCTTTAAAAGACAAGGAGAGTTTTCTCTATAACCAAACAAATATATACACCAATGAAACCAAACTTCTCCTACAGGTAGAGCAATGCTCACTTTTGGTGTAGGTCAAGAGTTCTGGAAACCCCCGAAATCTGGGTTAGCCCGCTTGTGCTTAAAAGCAACCAATTGAAAGAGCTGTAGAGTTGGACTACCATTGATGGCAACAGAGAATAAGAAGTGGGTAGTTGGCAGGTGCTCTGGTGTGGTTTGCTCCTTTTTTCCTATCAAACATCTATCATCTTTATCTCCTCTCCTTCTTTTTTATGTTTGTTACTCCCTTGCAACACCTCTAATCTTCTGGCACTCATATGACCTTGTGCAGTTGCGAGCGCCGTAAAACCTCTACTAAAACTAAATTAAAGAGGACAAGAAAAGGAATCCTCCTCTACCAAAAATAGAACATCATACTACTCACGTGTCTTGCACCACCAGGGGTGTCCTCAGAACGAAGTTTTCCTGCCGCTAGAGCTGAGTCATCGTTGACCACCGAGAGCAAGGACTGACCGGTCAGCTTGACCCTCTTGCTCTCCAGCTTGTAGGACGGGTATCTGACGTTGAACCAATCCAGGACCGTCGGAACTATGTCCAGCAAACTGACCATCATGTCACTTCTCTGAAAATTAGTAATAATAATATGGTAAATAATAATAATAATGCCGGTAATGATAATAATAATAATAATAGATTACATTTGTTTTTAGAGCAAATTCCCGCTCAACGGCAAGCTCTATGCACTTTAAAATCTATATATTACCCCAGCAGACCTGATAGCATTCTGAAACAATCTCAACTTCGAGGGAAGTATACAGTGCAAGCTGGCATTTAATAGGCGCTAAAACACTAACACATACTGACAAGATCCTTCACCGTCTATGGCTAGGTACCCATTCTCACCTGGGTGAAGTGAGGAAAATTCGTGTAAAGTGGCATTCCCCCAAGGACACAACGTTGGGCCTGAGGCTCAAGCCTCGAACCCGTAACCTCGCAATAGCGAGTCCAGTAGCCTAACCTAACCACTAGAATACTGACGCCACTTTAATAAAATAGAACATCAAAAACAAAAAGTCAGACAACAAAACAAATCCACTACAGTGATGGTCACAATCAACATATAAAGAAAGGCATGACTGATTGAAATGCTTAACCCTATCCGTACGCCCTGGGGTCATTTTGACCCCCGGGGTTGTATTTTTAACATTTTAGAAAACTTCTAGTGCTAAGATCTCTTTGAAACTTTCAGTATTTCTCAAAAAATCATTTTGATAGACTGCTATGCAAAGCGTACTGATCGGATTAATTAGAAAATTTCCCCTTTGGAAAGTGGTGGCACAGAGTTACCTATGTCGTATGGATATGATAGTAAAACACGACGTACAGAGAGGGTTAAGTGGTGGCACAGAGTTCCCCACGTCGTATGGATATGATAGTAAAACACGACGTACGGAGAGGGTTAAGTGGTGGCACAGGGTTCCCCACGTCGTATGGATACGATAGTAAAACACGACGTATGGAGAGGGTTAAATCTGCCCCCGTGACTGTGACGCAATTTAGATCATCTAGGAGGCGGGCTGCTTCCACTCTGCCTGTCTCTGTCAGGGCCAACTCCACCTGAGTGGGATACAGTATCCCCTCCCAGCAGAAAGATGGAGATACTCACGAAAATAAACCTCTGGGGCAGAGGGAAGACGACTTTGCATAGTCCGGTGGGTAATATAACATTGGCGTAACTAATTCTTCCCACGACGGCAACGATTTGCTTATTAAACTTCAGTTATCTTATCTACCCTCTTTACAGACTAGACTTTTCCAAAACAGAAAACAAAATTTAATCGAGACTTTCTTTTTTTTTTGGGGGGGGGGGGGCTTTAGCCTTTAAGTACAAAACACTCAACAGGCACAGAAAAATCAAACACGGAAAACTCAAAATCACAGATAGCTCATACAATTTGGCATTCCTTGACTGATATATGACTTTAATTTTTTCACTACACAGTTTACCCTATTTATGGATGTGTCGAACACATTTGTCAACCCCCGTTGCGTTTTGAGTTATCCGTGCTTGACTGTACGCCTACATGATCGGCTTTTTTATTTCTCTATCTCACCTGTCCCCATTTGCTGCGTCCTAGCGGCGAGGAGATCAGGAAAGGTTCCGCCGCTCCTCCTGTGAACAAAAAGGAAAA